AGAGCCTGCAGGAGTCATGGGCGGGGTGTGTGGGGTGGGGGGTTGGGGAGGTGTGCTCTGTGATGAGGAAGTTCAGCTTAAAGACATGTCCCAGGGGCGTTTCTGGTATCAAAAGGCGTTTCTGGTTCCCACCTGTCGTTTTGCTCCTCAGCATGGCTGCCTAAAGTCGTTACAGGATTTCTCAAACATGCATGAACGAGTCAAAGCAAGGCTTTGGACATGTTTTTAATGAGAGTATAACATTATAACATGATATAAAACTCAAAAAAGTTGATTTTACATGATACAGCCCCTTTAAAGCTATTTATGTGCYATATAGCTGAGGTCCAATAGATGTGGCAGAACTGTACTGCCCCTAAATATTAAAGAGCTTTAGATGTACAGCCATTATTTTGTGTCTGAGTTTCATCAAAACTTGTCAAGTTGCACACRAGATATTTTGCTAACAGACTGTGTCAGCTCTAATATTAAATGCTACAGTTTTAAGAAAAGATGCTGCACATTGAATAGTTTATAGTGTAGCTGTTGGAGATTATGCTCRGATATCACCACAAAAAATTAGCTCAGAATCTGTAAATCAGCTGAGTTGTAGCTATTTTTGTGTTTGATTATGTTGGTTAGCTATGTCTGCCATCTTGAATGGGCTTTTCTATTTTTTTTTATTAATTGCTGTGTAGAGATGATCTAAATCTAACACATAAACTCAGTCATTTTTAAAAATTCGTAATGTTATTAATTGTAACTTTAATTATTTCCCCTTATTTTTGTTGATATTGTTTCTTACCTATCACAGCTCGTCGGTACAAACAACAGTTAACCAGTTTATAGTTGTTGTTTGTTTTTTTTGTTTTTTTTTTCCATTGGGTCTGCAGGCCTGACCTGCACATCATGCCCTCTGCCCTCTCCTCCTCTCCACACTGCATGGTGTTTCTGGGTCCACACTCAGAGTCACTGACCTTGGCCAACATTCTCAGTTATAATCAGCAGTTTTAGCCACACTTCCAGCCCAAAACAGCCACTTCCAATACTTTAAATAACTCTATAGACCAAGACCTGACRCACAGGGTTGGAACTTTCCTTYCTGCTTTYTTTTYTTTTACATCAACCCACARTTGGTGTTCAAGCAACAAAACAACAGGCATGAAGCAAAAATGTTGTCCAAGACAATCAAACTAGATCTGAACCATTTTGAAAACKCAATGTGATCCTTGTTGCWTTCTATTTATCACCYGCTTCAAAGGGGAAAATAKGGTTATTTTGTCTCTGCCTGTTAGCAAAATATCTCATCRATCACATGATTAATTTGAATGAAACTCTCAGAAGTAATGATTGGATATATTTGATTACAGACACCCAGCTAATCAACCTTTTCAACTGAAACATGACGATAACTCTTAATGTTAAATTTGATGAGATAAGTTTGGTGATAGTGGCTGAGAGTTATCCTCAACACATTGTCTGAGGGCTATCACATCTTGGGAAAAGTCACAACATTCTGACCAAAACAGAAATGCTTATTAGCATAAGATGAATTTAGATGAAATTTATTTAAAGCTCTGCCATAAAAAGCGTCAGCAGAGATTTCTTATGACTTTCAGCCTAAAATCTGGAAGCACTTTCCGCACGCCACAAACAAATTTTATCGTCCGTTACATGCCTCGTAATTGCCTTTTGTCCACGTGCACGTGTCTCTTAAACAAAGTTGGACCATTCTATCTGAGCTTTACCAACTTTTGAAAGTAACTTTGACAGAGGGGCGTGCTGGTGGCTTTAAGGATAATCACATCAGGAGCACAAAGCCTGACCCGTTTTTGCATCAGTAAGTTACTGCTCATTGAAAAGCACTCAGTCGGCAATTGTTGTCTTGCCTTCAGTGGGAATGTGAATAGCACCTTATTGATTGAGAGCAAAATGTTTTTAATGTTGTAGATGAGATTTCTGGATTGGCAGCTAATGGGAAGATGGAAGCTCTCTGCAATCTATTTTCAAGTCAAGTTTCAAATTGAAAATCTTTACACGCGTAATTAAGGCTTAACTGAAAGCAATGTCAAAACTTTTGCTTATTTACCCCCCACCCCTTCTCAGGCATTGTTTTTTTTTTTGTCTTATCTATAAACACACACTTGCTGAAGATTGTCATTGTTGTAAGCAATGGATAAATAGCAGAGAACATTATTTATATTGTGATAATGCATAAAGAAATGCTGATCTTTAAGTTTTTTACACCTACATGCTTTTAGATTAAATAAAAATGCAACCTTCTCTTTTTGTCCTTCGGTTTGGGTGTAGAATTAGTGGATTCATTATGTTGGTCAAGGATGTGTGAGCAGGCCAGGCTGCACTGGGGTTTAAAGCAGAGTTCCTCCACCTGAGGGGTGTCCTGGATTTCAAACAGCTGTTCTGATTGGACGGTCAAAACAAGACTTAAAGCCAGGAAGAAATGAGATCGTTTTCACTGTAATGAGGAAACAATGCTCAGCCTTCCTGAGAGCTATGTGTATAAATTACCTTTCAGAGATTATTTCTGTCATAATGAGTGCATTTTCAGTCCTGCGCGCTTTATAGACAGGAACTATCAGCTTCCGAGTAATACACGATAGGACTGGAAAAAACATACGGTTGCAGGTTCATAATGAGTGATTCAGTTTTTGGTAGGATGATTTCATCAAAGGTACTCATTGCAATGTCATGGAAATCATTCAAACAACCAGTAACAAAAAGTAAAAAAAAAATAATAATAATATGCGCAGTATTTCTTTTTTATTTATACAGTATAAATTGATGGGTTCTTCTAAAACCGATGTAGGAGTTCTGCCCAAATTAGCAAGAGAAAATCTTCCATATTAGATCATAGGTCACTTTCTAAAAAAGGATTCCAAAAAAAAGGAAAAAAGGGGATTCTTAAACAAACAATAAATAAAAGAATAGTAGGCAAAATTGTTTGATTGTATGACAATTATCACTTTTGTTTACCTAAGAAAACAGCTGAAATTACCTTTTTTTTTCAGTATCAGGCCGAACTAATGTAGGTCAATTGTTTGACCCAAGTGTTTTAGTTACTCTGAGTGTGGACATTTTTGAATTGCATCTTAATAAATCAGAAAATAATACTTGAGTAAACTCTTTCAAATTGCACTATTTGATATGACTCAGGAAACTATTTCATCCATTGCAATAAACAGCGTTAAATTATAGTAGAGCAATTGCAAAAAAACTAATGGTTTGCTTCATCACTTTGATTGTGAAGTGTTTTACAACAGACAAAAGCAAACAAAAAAAATATATGAATCTATACCAAACCAAACAAAAACCATGGAAAACAAAGCACAGAGTTCAGGAGTCTTGTTATTCATTGTTACTGTATGTCACAGTGTTGGGAAACCTTCAGAAAAGTGTTACTAAAGGCTGTCACATTCTTTCAAAACCATTGTCTGTATTTTTGCTTCCAGTTCACGTGAAAGCAGGAACCTGCGAGGTAATTGCCGCGCATCGATGCTGCAACAAGAACAAGATCGAAGAGAGATCCCAGACTGTCAAATGCTCCTGCTTCCCCGGACAGGTGGCGGGAACGACGAGAGCAGCTCCATCTTGTGTAGACGGTATGCCAGGCTTCTCATTACAGTTCTGGTAATGACTTGAAAATCGACTTCAGATTCAAAATGTGTGACACCGCGAGAAACTGCCATACCTGTCAGTGTGCTTATTTCACCTGCCATTTGTGTAGAAGAAGTTTTTTTGTATGAAAGAAGAAGGGGGGGGGATTCAGTGAGATTTTGAAGGGATTTTTCTGTTGTGTGAGGCTTCACCCTCCTCGAAATCAAATCACCTTCCAGTTCATTCGCTGAGGCTTTTTGCTGAGTTACATCAGACATGTTCAGCAGAGCCGACATGTGGCCAGGTCATTTAATATCATGTCAGCAGCGTCCTCGGTTACAGGTGAATCGATCCCCAGCTCCTGTTTTCAGTCTAACAGCCCTGAAAAGGGCTCAGTTTTGACAGTTTTCTCCTCACTTTAGAAATGTCACGAGAAAGTGTTTCTCTCCTCTCGGCTCCTTCAAAGCAGCTTAAGACCTTGACTGCACGTCTCCTCACTCCCGAAGTTCATACAATCACCTTTTCCACATTGAGCACGCCTGCCCACAACAGTCACCATTTTGACTTTGACCCAGTCCTTGTAATTCAGCCCTAAAAAAAATAAGGAAAACACTCGGACAGGAATGGCAGCCCTCTCCAGATGCCAGTTATCAAGATGCTCTGTTCAAACATAACGGGCCAATAAACTTCTTTACTCTTCCAACTAAAGCTGTGCTTTTATGTAACATATTGTTAATTGTTTTTAGTGCTGATTTTTCTCCTCTTGATCGTTTTGTTTTCCTCTCAGCATCAATAGTTGCGCAGAAGTGGTGGTGCCAAATGCATCCTTGCATGGACGGAGAAGAGTGTAAAGTTCTGCCAGATCTCAAAGGATGGAGCTGCAGTACGGGAAACAAAGTTAAGACAACTAAGGTGCGTTGGATTTATAAAACTATATTTAGATTAGATTAGATTAGATTAGATTAGATTAGATTAGATTAGATTAGATTAGATTAGTTCTAGAT